ACCGCAGCTGCAGCAGAAGAAGAAGAACAATCACAGTCTCTTCTCAGCCTTCCTGCCCTGGACGAATTGTAAGTAAACCTAGACTTAGCCTCTTTTGAGATTGTAGTTGCAGATTCTTTATCCTGACAGACTGAGTTGTGTCCGTTGTTGAGCTGATCCCTTCTTCGACTTTTCTAATTGGGTAATGGTGAGTAACTGAGCTCTTGAGGTTGACGACGAAGAACGTGTCCAAACCACCTCTGTCGTCTTCCTTGGATGGCCTGAGGTATCATCGCGATGTTGTCGCAGCGAGTACTTCACTCGAAGGATGCGTGGTACATGCGAGCCATCGAGATAATAGACATATCGCATCGGTTCCATAGGCACTTTCTAAGGCTTGAGAAAACTACGAGTTGCATCAATTTGGGAGAAAATGTCATCCTTAATCTGTCCATTAGGCAGCAACCTCGCTCCGAGGCACTTGAAACTGTCTATTTTTTCAAGTTGACAGCTACTGATCTCAAAAGGTGCCTTATCGTGGGCAGGGATGCAGCATAAATACATTTTGGTTTCCCCAGCGTTTATGGAAAAATCGATCGATTTAGCGATATTGTTCACCCATGATACCATGGACTGCAAATCAGCGAAGCTTGAAGCTAGTAAGTCGATATCAGTCACCTGGCGTCCGGGCTCATTGTCAACACGAGGACCTTGTTGTAACGGTGATAAACTGTGGTTTCATCGTTTAATTATACCCTGTTTGCGTCCCCAAGGACGAACAAAACAACAAGAGCGTAAAAGTTGAAGCCATCCGAATGAGGGTTTTATTGTGTACAGGTTGCTGTCTCGGTGGCAGTGGGCACGGGCGAAGTCTGGGCTGATGTGGACTGCTTCCAGTCACGCCTGAGGGTGTCTTTTTCAGCAAGTCTGATGCAACTCCCTGTGTGACATGTGACAGTTGCTTACAAAGGATTGTGAAGCGAGTTCAAGTGTTGTATGGTTGGTGCGTTAGAATAAAGTCACCTGCCGGGTGGTCGCAGGCTGACGCGCTCACGTGTGTTCGCGTGCGTGTGCGCACCTGTGTGTGTGTGTGTGCCAGTAAATAGCCGATCCAGCGGCCTAAGGTCATCTCTTGAGGGGCACTTCATTGGCGAATACACGTGACCTTGAGGTCGGTCCCATTGAACAATGAACCATTTTTGGCTGTCGGCCGATGGAGCGATTCATCAGGATAGGCTGCAAGGTTCTGCTGGCAGTTGGTTAGGCTGTATTCCGAACAGACCGCTCTTCCCTCCGCACCATGTAAGTTTATCATGATTGTGACTTGTAGCGTCGATCTCACACACTTTCCTCCCATACGCACATGCCTTCTGACTGAATTGCTATAGACCTGATCGCTGAACCTTACCTGTCTGTCTGTCTGTCTGTCTGTCTGTCTGTCTATCTGTCTGTCACGACACGTTTCATTTCTCTGTTACACTCCCGTCAGACTTAAATCATGTCAACCAGTCGGTGCGATAACCGTAGTACGATCACTATGCTCAGTACTGCCTCATGTGGGGACTCTTTGCGTAATCAGATCAGAGTATAAGGAGCACCTCATATAAACATGAATTTTTTTGCAGTTGTAGATGCATCAACATGACTAGCCCACTCCCCGTTTGCCTCACTGCTGGTTACCCGGCGCGTCCACAGGTGGCTGATAGTGCAACGGCCTTCGGTAGTGAGCTGCGAAATTAGTAGACTCGGGTCTAGCGGATAAGCCAGCAGCGGCAGTGCTACCAGGGCACGCCAAAAGCCTATAAAATGCCACAAAGCTTGATGACAGCATTGTGACATGGCGATCGTGAACCGCCATTAAATAGGTTGGCTGGTCACCGCTACCGTTTTGTTAGGCTATTGACACAACCTCTACTCAACATTCCGGGCGGCTGTTGTGGACCCATTCGTTCTCACAATTTCCTATGAAAATCATGGAAACTACGTTCGATAACAATACTACGTTTAGTACCATCCGGGATATAATCGAGGCCGGCTAGATCAGCCCTGATTGCAGCCGTACAAGTACCCCGCTCTCGTCGAACTCTATACGCCCCCTAAATCCTTATCTCGTGCGGCTTCGCGTTCCTTTATGCACTGACTGACCTAGCCGCGACTGCTTCGTCTTTTGGTCTAGACGCTTGTCGTCTTAACCTTGATGATTCTTCTATCCCGAATTATATCGTATTTCCCAGAGTTGACCCTTCGGTTAACAGCCAGCCCACTGGAACCTCCTTGAACTACTTTCTCCTTTCAGTGACAAATTCTGGTAGCG